ACCGACCTTGTCTCTGTCAAGCAGAGATTGAGCCAGAGCAAAACTGGAAGTCAACAAGGAAAAGAAAGGTAAAATAAAGAGGCGTCCTTGTGGCACCTTAGAGACTAACAAATTTATTTGGGCATAAGCTTTTGTGGGCTAAAACCCACCCACGAAAGCTTATGCCCAAATAAATGTGTTAGTCTCTAAGGTGCCACAAGGACTCCTCATTGTTTTTGCTGATACAGACTAACAAGGCTACCACTCTGAAACAAAGTAAAATAAGTGCAAAGAGGGATTTGGGAGAACAAAGATGCTTAGAACAGAGGATAAGAGATTTCATTCATGTTGTGGGGACCAGCATGACAATAGGCACACAAGTGAGATAACAAAGGGAGCCACAAAATGATGTGTTGAGCAGAGAGCAATGGGGAGGATGCGATATAGATGGGGAAGAGGAAGGAATGAGGAATATGAGCTTCATATGGAAAGAGACCATAGGGAAGCCAGTGATGGTGTTTTTAATAGGACTCAAATTGTGCATTAACCAGCCCATGTTCTTCTTCTCCCTTTTACTGTTTGTCAGAAACACTTAAGTCTTGTCATAACATGAGATTGTAAGCACTCAGGACAGTTACCATATCTTTCTGTATACATCTACTATGCCTAGAACAACAGAGACCAAATCCTGATTGAAAGCTCTAGGCACTACTGCAAACTAATCTGAAGAAATGAGAAATGTGGCCGGAGTGGCAAGCAAGGAAGATTATTCTAGCTGCTGAATGTTACTGTCACCATCTGTCAATCAAGGAGAAAGGTACAATAGAATAAGCAAGATTAAACAATGGAGTGAAGCAGGGTTTTATCCAAAGAGTCAGAAAACATTTCTCTGATCCCATAGAGAATTCGGGGGTAAAAAAACATTGTTTATATTATGAATGTGCAACTTTGTGCCATACTAACCCAATACCACTTAAGTGCATAATAAGATACAATAACTCCTTTGCATATTTTTACAAAAATTAAGATCAAGATTCACCAGAAATATAGAACCCCAGAAGTGCATAAAAGACTGAAACAGCTCCAAAAAACTATTCCTATAACACTTGTTAATTACAAATATGTAGATCTTTAATTTGGCCCTGGAGATCATAACTCATTTGCTGAAAGAACCTGCTTTTCTACCCAGTTTTCCTGCTGAGCTGAGCAGGAAAAGGAAATGAACCCATTTAAAAAAAATTAAAATACAGCAACTAGGAAAATTGTAGATGCAGTAGTAGGACTTTTTTGAGTACAGTAACAATTCAAAAATATTTAAAGTTGAGAGTCAACTGATTTTATCTTTCAAAATTGAACAAACTAAGTGTGCTGTGAAGGGCAAAGGCAGTAAGGAGTAAATCAGGTTAAATTTTTTTTTTAAAGTGTACCTTAGTTGAGCAAAGCATATTTAAAGAAATTTAGGAAACAGTTTATTTCAGTTTCTACTTTTATCTTTGCACTACATAGTAAACAATGAAATTGTTCTCAAATAAGTATCACTTTCAGGTTGTTATGCATAGGACAGTACAGCAATGTTTGAACTGCAAAGTAATGTCTTGTGGGGTTTATTAAAATAAACTAGAAAGATTATAAAAATATGTCAATTGGTCTTACACTACTTAAGTCTTGTTTTCCAGAACCAAAATGATAGACCAAATTTGATATTTGTGAAAATAGTGATGCAAGCTCTATTTTGAATAAGAATTTTCTTAAGACATATATGGAGGGGAGTGTTAAAAGGTTATCAGCCTGTGTTTAGTAGGTTCATGTTACTAGTGGTAGAAGCATTGGAGAGAGTTTTGAAAATCATCCAAAATGAGTGCCAAAATCCCTTTACACAACACCATCACATACACTGTACACAATGCTTAACTCAATGGATCCCTTTTCCCATCCACAGATATCCCAGTCCTGCACAAAGGAAAGAGTAAAGGTTATTTTAAAAGCAATTTAGAAAGCTTAAAAACCAGCTAGTCAATGAAGTTTACTAGTATCTTCTCCATGTCTCATTTCAATTGCAAGTTTATTGAAACTTATTCTAGTAAAACCCTTAGAATAAGTGTCTTAGTTCTGTCACTGACTACAAAGAACACTTGTAAAGTTAACTGTTCTCATTAATATACACAGATCTGTATTTAGGTTTTGGAGGGAAAAATGTAGAATCTCTGTGCATAAATTGCAGTAATGGAAAATCATAGGTAAAATCAGTATGGGAATATTTTAGTTGGCCTTTATTTTATACAATCACATATTTAACCAAAGTTGCATAAATACTGACACTACATCAGCCAGGTTAAGTAATGTAACAGAGTTACTAAATAGGCCCAGGTAATTAAACTGTTCACCCCAGGATTTAAATTAACCATTGGCACAGTGGGTGCAACTCTGGCCCTGGGACTATTGGACAAAAATATGAAAATGAATAGATGTAAAGGCACAATGGCAGGTAGTTACATTTGAAACTCAGATTGTTTTACATCTTAAACTTTGAGTTAAAGAATGAAATAGAAACTTAATTTTAAAATAACTCTTCCACAGTATTTATAACCTAAATATTGCAACATTCTGCTAAAAGCAGAAGAACAAAGGTAATAGCAAGTCTGTTTATTCCTAGCAGTGTAAAATGCAAAAGAGTAAACAGCATAAATTATTAAATATAGGTTTTAAATTGTTTCAGATATTAGGAATTGGATATCACAATGTTTTTGAAGTCTGCTCTTACCATGTTCCTTTAAGTTATGTGTTTTGTTATGAAAGATCACATTACATGTCTACAAGTCTGCTTACAAATTAGGAAAAAAAGAAAAAGCTGGTAAAAAAACACAGTACATACTGCTTATTTACAACCACCTTAGGGAAAAAAACCTGAAATCAATACTTTAGCTGAACATTAAACACAATTAGGTACTAAAGATTACGTATATTACTCAATGCTAGCACAACAAAATTATGTCCTGACACAAGTAGTTTATGGATCAAATTTGACCTTCAAAGAGTGAACTGTGCAAGTAACTAACTGCTCAGACACAGGTAAACATATTCCATTTTCTTCCAAGTGGGATCATACCTTCAACGGAGCTGCTTTTACTCCAATGTGCGTAGGGGAGAGGGAAGAGGGAAAATTGTTTTCTAGTGCATGTACAAACCTAATCTTAAAACTCATTTGTTGACTATTTTAAAATTGAATGAGATTACCTAGCAACCTAAAACATGCAGAATGGTGTTTTAAAAACTTAATTAGCACCATCATTTTTTAATAAACATGCTTAAGTCTGTTCCTACTGAGATGTAGGAGCCTACTACACCCTTTCCCTCTCCATATCTCTGTTTAGTTGTATGCTCTTCTTCCCCGGAAAATAAAGAACATGAATAAATAACCAAATTCATCTTCTTTCCTCCCTCTGTGATATACTAGATTGTTAATTTTGTTGTCAAGTATGATTTGACTTATGAATTCCTATGGCAACGTTGAGTCTGCAGGAAAGGATATTCCTTGGCTTAAGAAAGAATGCTGCCGGTGAACAAAGGGGCTCAATTGCATCTCAATGCATTAATAACTGGTGTCCCACTGCATCAGACTATGCAGATTGTTGTTTTGTCTGCAAAATGGAGATCTCTTAACTGAAAGGGAAATATGATGGGTAATGTATGTTTGTAAGACTGTTACCACTGCTTAGTTCATATAAAGAGGTTTACATCCCTCGATGTCAATAAGACACAGACCCAAGCTAAAAACAAGACCACATTTATTCAGTACAGACATGTTAAGACAAGTCCTGTAAATCAGGAACACAATTCAAACACTCCGTTACGAAGTGTATATATTTTGACAACAGCCAGCATCTTTTCAATCCAGCCATTGAGGTTTTGTTTTGTTTTTACGGGGGGGTGGGGGGGGGAGTTGTTGTTTAGCTACCATCTGTGAACAATGTATCTCAGTCTTCATTCGCTCACACTTCACAATGATCAGTTCAGCTGCTTTCCAACTTTGAGATTCACATTTAAAACCGCTCTGTAGTCACAATGGGAAAAGTAAAAAAAAAAAAAAAAAAAAAAAAGGAACCCAGGAGGGGAAAGGAAACACGCACCTCTCAGTAAGATATTTTAGACTTATTGCAAATGGCTCCTGAGACCACCAGAGACGGACAAATCTACTCCCGTGTAGCGAGACAGACTCCAAGCCTGGAGCGCGCTGGCAGTGGGAATAGCAGGGCAGGGATGTGAAGACACAAACAGCCTTCTCTCTTGTCCATCCTCCAGAAAAAGAGCCCCCGAGTGCCGGAGCAGCGGCAGTGGTATTAGCAGGAAGGACGGGGACTGGTGGGGTTCTTAGAGAACTTGCTGTAAGATGACCCTGTTTCTGAGAGTCCCACTGGTAGGAGGAGCTCTTAGGAGGCGGGGGGGGGGGAAGGGGGAGAGCACAACAACAACTCGGATCGGGCAACGTGCACGTCCTCAGGAGACTCCTAGCGATTACAAAACACAGGGCTCGCCCTCAGTACAATCAAAACAAGCTAAGATAGAGTTACTATCTCCAACCGGCTGGTGAAAACACCACCACCGTGCGCGCGCTGTGTGGATGCGCCTTTCGGTGACCTTGGGGCAGAGGAATATAGGAGCCAACAAATTTTAAACCCGCTCCACCCAAACCTACCTCCCCGCCGCCCCACACGCCTACCCCTCTCCCTGCCGCATCTCCCGCTCCCCTCCGTGACGCTAAGACTGGGGACCCCTTCCTCCAAAACAATGGCAGAGCGGGACTGGCCCAGCGGGGTGGTCCCTTCCCCCGTCCCGACACACAGCAGCGAGTTGAGGGGGGGTCTGCATCTCCGCGGAGCGGGGCAGGCTCGGTGAAGGTGGGGGGCTCCCTGCTTCCCGCACCCCCATCAGCGACCACTACAGAGACTTACAGCGCCTCGGAGCTAGCACCACGTTTTATACAGAATAGCTGGACCCCGGCCACGGGGCCTCACTGTCAATAAAGAGTCTGCTTCAAGTACAGGGGAGGGGGCGCCCCCGAGATAGATCCGCCGATAGCTGGCCCCTCCCCCATGCAATGTCCCGATTCCGGCGCGGGGCTCGCTGCCACAGGCTTTCCACAACCCGCGGGGCTACTGCAGAGGCTGCAGGGCTGCTGCTTCTCCCCTCCCCGCTGCCGCCGGTGGTGGCTGTGGCCACGGCCGCCGCCGCCAGCTGCAGGCGCCTGACTGCTTCCTTGATGAGGTTCCCGGAGAGGATTAGCTGCTGCAGGAGCCGGTGCGGATCCTCCTCTTCGCCGGGCGCTTCCCCCGGCCCCGGCCGCTTCCTCCTGTGGGCGGCGCTCCGCAGCCAGCCCCGGCCGCACAGCTGCTTGGCCACCCGCTGGCTATTCTTCCCCGGGCGCTGGGGCTCCGCCGGCTGGTGCGGCTGCGGGGGGGCCGGGCCCCGCGGGACCAGGAGGCCGCCGCCGCCACGGGGGGAGTAGGGCGCGGCGCGGCCCCGGGCGGCGGTGGGCGGCGGGTGCTTGGGGCCGCGGGGGGCCGGTGCCCGCTGGGCGCTTAACTGCAGCACCTCGCCCAGCTTGGCCACCAGCGCGTCCACCTCCTTGGAGCCCGCCTGCCCCACGGCGACCGAGCGCTCCAGCAGCAGAAAGCGCTCCCCGGGCCGGCAGGGCATCTCGGCCGGCTCCGCGCGCCGCACCGGTGCAAACCCGACTCGCAGCAGCCCGCTGCTGGGCTTGGTTTGTAAACAATGGGTGACGCGAAAGCCAGGGCACGTCCCACTGCGCTGAGCGGGGGGAGCGGACGAGACCACAGCGGGGCACGGGGGCCGGCGCGCACGCACAAAGCCGCCGCGGGTGAGCCCCCGCGCCCTCTTCGGGTTCTCCCAGCAGTCGCCTGTTCAGAGGGCGGCGAGAGGCGGTGGGTGAGGGTGAGTCCGCCCTCCTCTCCCGATCCGCCCCCCCGCTTCGCCGTACGTGGGCTCGTCCGCTTTCAAACCCCGCACCCAGAGGGATGGGGACGGGCCTCTCTGACCGGTAGGAGGAGCGTGAGGGGCGGGGCGCGAAAGAGTGAGGAGGGAGTTGGGAGCTGGCGCGGGGCGGGGGAAGAGCCGTGGTGCGGGCTCTGGGTTAGGGCTGGGGATGAGGAGGTTGGGGTGTAGGAGGGTGCTGTGGGCTGGGACCGAGGGGTTCCGAGGGCAGGAGGGGGATCAGGGCTGGGGAAAGGGATTGGGCTGCAGGAAGGGGTGTAGGCTCTGGGGTGAGGCGGCAGAGTTTGGGATGCAGGAAGGTGTTCTGGGCTGGGATCGAGGGGTTCAGAGGGGGGTCAGGGTTGGGGCATGGGGAAGAGGCTCAGGGGTGCAGGCTCCGGGCAGCACTTACGTCAAGCGGCTCCCGGAAGCAGCGGCATGTCCTTCTCCGGCTCCTATGCAGAGGTGCGGCCAGGCGGTTCTGCATGCTGCCCTGTCCGCAGGCGCCGCCCCTGCAGCTCCCATTGGAGTGCTGGAGGGGGGCATTGGAGCGCGTAGGAGCTGGAGGACGGCCATGCCGCTGCTTCTGGGAGCCACATGGAGCGCCCCCTGATCCTGCTCCCTGGCTGCAGCGCTGGAGCAGGGCAAGCCCCAGACCCCACCCCCAGCGGAAGCTCAAGGGCCAGCTTAAAATGGCTGGCAGGCTGAATGCGGCACCTGGCCATAGTTTGCCCACCCCTGCTCTATATAGTTACAATTTGTAGATTTTTCATGCACATGGATTCCTATTGTTCTTGGCCATAAGAAAAAGTTTCATTATGTTTTAAAAAAAGAAAAGGAGTACTTGTGGCACCTCTAAGGTGCCACAAGTACTCCTTTTCTTTTTGCGAATACAGACTAACACGGCTGTTCCTCTGAAACCTGTCATTATGTTTTAAATTTCACTTTGCTCATGCTGTTAGAATAGCTGTCTGTCACTTAGATCTTATAGTGCCAAGCACAGCAATGCCCAAATTCCTTTAAAAATCTGTGCCTTTTATTCAAAATTAAAGTGGCCTTAATTCAGTTCAGTTTAATTTACTTTGAAAGTGAATTGGCTAAATCAAAGTGAGGACACTTCAGTTCTGAATGAGAGCATCTACAATGGAGTTTAATGCAATTTAACTAATCCACTTCAAATTCACACCCAATTCGATTTAAACATTCCTGAGGGTCCCCATGAGCATTATGTAAAATGTCTACATATCACCTGGGTGCCTGCCTCCCATCCTGGATCCACAGACTCATGTCAGTGGGGCTTGCAATAGTGCTCTAAAAATAGCTGCATAGACTTGTGGCTCAGGCTCTGAAGCCCACCCTCATGCCTTAGGTTTCAGAGCCCAAGCTGCAACATCTATGCAGCTATTTTTAGATCACTGGTGCAAGACCCATTAACATAAGTCTGTGGCGCGAGACTGGGAGGCTCACTCCCAGATACAGTATAGACCTACCCAGAGGAAGTCTATACCACAGCTGGGAATTTAACCCAAGTTTCCTGAGGCCAAGCATAGTGTCTCAACCACAACACTAACCTTCTCCATGGCACAGATAAAGAACAGGGTTTTTTTTAAACAAGGTATCTGATGCTAGTAAGAACATCTGTCTACACTACAGAATCCACCATTGTCATCAATGGAAATGAATTCTGAGACATTGTTTTCTCTTGTAGATAAGGCCTTATCAGGTTCCCATAATAACGTTAAGCAAATTAACACAATACGCAAGATGGGGAGAGTATCTTCCAAAAATAAACGTAAGGACTCAGGGTGAACAGAAACCTATCAATAACGCAGCTGTGCATGCAAAATCTTTGACAAGTTACAACATGATAGTTAAAAAGATTTTCCTAACAGATAAGCTGACAGTGGACTTGGCTGATGGGTGGATGCTTTTTTTGCCCTGACACTGACAAATTTCTCTGGTGTTGTCTGTCCCAGTTCAGAGGTTATCAGAAATTACCACTACTAGTGGTCATCCAAGCCATTCTATTAAAAAGATGTCATACCTGCAAACAGCAGTTGCCTCCTGGCTTTATATTTATTACTATTCTTCATGTCTGTTTCCCTTCCTTTTAGAACTGGAGCTTTTATTTATGTATATCTGTTTAAATTTTGAAACCGCTTTTTCTTATATTTTAATTTGTTTCTATTATTTAACGTAATTTCCAGAGCCCTCTGGCTGGGGTTGGAGTATGGGTGTTTTATATGAAAATAATAATTTTATTAATTATGTGGCAAGCTCTAAATTTTGCCTTTTAGTCCATCATAATTATGCAGGCTAATGATCTGTCAGTTCTCAGGGACACATTTCATGTCAGAGTATAAAGGCCAATCACATGCCTTACCTTCTTTGTTGATCCTAAAGAAGCAAGCATAGGTTGTGATTTCTGATCTTTACACCCAGTTAGTGCAAACAACAAAAAGTCAAGCCCCTTTGAAGCCCCTGTAAACCTATGTAATCTCAGGTATAGAAGTGGGAGCCCTTTTATCACGCATGTGGACATGCATGCTTGTGTGTACACACACACGAAACTATCGTGAAAAATAATAACTCATCATAAGGCAACTGAGTAATTATACTTGAAATTTCCAAAGCCATAGATCATCTAGTTACAATAATTATACAAGGCTTTGAAAATATAGAGAGCCATTTAATTTCTTTTTCTGTATTAAAAATAAATTGACCTCTTTTCGTGCCAATTTTCTCATGTTTCAGAAGCTTTGTCATATGTACTGCACTTAGTTATTATATATAATGCTCCTCTTCTTAACAATAGATGTCAAATAATGATGCTTGTGCAAACTAAATTCATGTCCTACACATGCTTTATGTTGTGCATTTCAGAATGAGTAGAGGCCGGAATACCAGAACAAGAATAAGATGCGTTTAGATTTTCTAACAATTGTTTTACTAACCTGCACCCATAATAGAATTCTAAAAACAAAAAACTTTGCTTTAAAAAACTACTAAGATTGCTAAATGACATCCATGTGTTTGCCTATCACAAAACTTACAAAATCCAAGCACATTCAAGCAAGGAAATGAATAGTTAAGGACATCACAGGTTTTATACAGTTCAGAAATATAAGTATAAATACATTGTCCAAAAGTTTAAACAGTGATTTTGGATGCTCAACTTGAGACACCTCAAAGAGACCTTATTGGGCACCCAAAAATTGAGGTACTCAGAAATATTAGTTACTTTCGAAAATGTAGGCTTTTAGTCTTAAATACAAAAGCATATTTCATCACAACATCATAATCTGCTCATATCCAGGGATTTTGTTTCTTTGAAGTATTGTTTTGTTAAGTTGATTTTGGTATTTAAAGAATTGTAACAGGGTCAGCTGTCTCCTGAGCAGCCCCTTGTGACCAAAGGTCACTCTGTAGCAACCTGCCTCTGTTTCCTCCTCTTCAGGACTCCTTAGACTCCACACACTTGTTTCTGTGGTCAAAGTAACCCTCCTTGGGGTCAGGGTTTATTCACAGAAAATAAAACTCAAAATCCTAAATGAAGGTCTAACAAACATCTCTTTTCTTACTCCCAGTCCTTTCTGCCTGGAGAGCTCTGCAGTCTTTCCCTGGCTTGCTCAGGGTCTCCTGCTCTAGCAAGCTACTCCCTACCTTTCCTAGCTCTAGTCTTGGGCCAGGTCTACACTAAAAAGTTTGGTCGACTCAACTACGTTGCTCTGGGGTGTGAAAAATCCATCCCCTGAGTGACATAGTTAAGATGACTAGTCCCCACCCCCGGCAACCTGGCTATGCCTCTGGAGAGGGTGAGGGGGTGGATTAACTACAGTGATGAGAGAACCCTCCTGTCGCTATAGTGAACATCTGCACTGATGCAGTACACTGGTATAGCTGCAGTAGTTTAAGTATAGACTTCGTGTTTGTTCCAAATTCCAGGACGCTGCTGGAGTCTGCTCTCACTGAGCATCAGCCCAGTGCAGCTTCCAGGTGTTCTTTATGGGAGAAAGCACCTAATCCCACTCAGCTGTGCCTTTTTCAGTTACCAGGGTTGGCTAGCCCCAGGCCCTCCATCTCTTCAAGGGCAAGCCACCCTTCTACAGGGATACAGTACTGTTAATTGGAAGGGCAACCAGTTATCAATTTATCAGCTGATAGTAGATTTTTTTATTTTTGGTAAAAGTATTTTAATTGCTGGTTGCTGAGAATGTTGTATGTATGTATGTATATGTTATATGTATGTATGTATGCTTCTTCAGACACCTCCAGCATATGGCTTGTGTGTCAGTTGGTTTCCCCACAAAACTACCCCCTCTTTGACAAAGAGTCCCTTTTTAAACCGCTATAGTTCTTTTGATCTTCGTGTGTTTCCAGGTCTTTTGCTGTCCTGGCATTGTCTCTTAACAATCCTTAAGGGTTCACAGATAAGTGGCTTATTTTGAGTGATTCTTTGCCCTTTCTGCTTGTTTTCCTTACAGCCCCCCGATTAAACCAACCAATATACTCATACATTAAAAATCCCTATAACCAGCTTAACATACAGTAATAATAAATTACAGAGACGTTTCACTTCCGTCACTGCAACCAGGTCTTTCTCTATGTTTTGAGTAGAGCTAATCTCACTGTTAGCATGTAATAATAAGTCTTTTAGCTTCAGAGGAATTGTCTTTTCTGTGCTTTTACAGCACCCTGCACTGAATGGGGCCTTTGGGCACTATCATAATATAAATATTTATGACTAATAGCAAGTAGATCATGGTACTTATCCTCTTCAGGGATGCATAATCTCTGGACTGTTGGCAACTGAGCTTCTGCAGCATACTGACTGAAACACTGCTCAGCTGTGTCCTGTGTAGAGGTCTGCAGTGCTATGGGAACCAAAATCAGTTCCAGTTCTTCCTATTGCACTCTCACTATGGCTATAAATAAATGTACTCTCTCGGAGAGATTAATTCTTTTGGAATAATCCTGTATCTTGTTCCTTCTTGTTAGTGTCATTAAAATTAAGAGCAACAAAATAAAAAATAAAACTCATCACCG